GCATACACTGAATTAAGATTAAAATCATCTTATTAGAATGGCAATCTAAAATTTACGTAAAGCTGCTTTAGATTGATCATTTAAAAATAACAAATATTGTTTTAATAGTTCACCAACTTACATCACAAAAAATAGCTTTAATTAGCTGAAACACATGTTTTTTTTATTCATTAAGCTATGCATCCTCATCTTTTTTGCTTAGTTTGACGATTTAGACAAAGGCCCTGCTCAGAGGTACCAATGACAGTATGAGCCACATCAAACACATTTGAACCAGACCTGCATTCCTTTATAATCTCCAACTCACTGTGAAATATTAACCACCTGGGATCCTTCCAGGAGAAGGCATGCCACAGTGCATTCTTGTTTCTTAACATAGCTTGGCTCCAATTAAGAAATGGCTTGCAAATTTCCTATCCATCGTCTTCCAACTGGGATTAATTTCTCATCCCAGTTAGGGCTGCTTTACCGTGATTAGCCACGCTGCTTTCCAGCTAATGGCTTCATCATTTTAGCTGTGAAAGAATGATACTAAGACAACATCAGTACATAAAATGCTGTCAGAGATATGTGACATCTCTATCAGATTACAATGAGAAGCTGCGATGGAGTTGTTCCAGCCCATGTGTTCCGTTTCAGAGGCCAAGTAATCCATTTTTTGGATTATTTGGCTGTTAACAACTATTCATGTTTGATCAGAGCTAACAAAATTAGGAAGCACAAGCTGTGGCCTCTCTGTGGAGGTTAGACTGAATGTTTTGGGAATTGATGGAAGATCTTGCAGGGATGAGCTCATGGGGGAAATCTGGAAGTGGTGGTAGTCTGTTGGCCCACTAGAGAACTTTCCGTTTTAAAAATTACACTACCCTGTTATATTGTGAATGGAACTTATAGAAGATAATTTAAATCTTCTTTGAAGTAGAAAAAATGTAATGAACTGTGTGCAGTCTGCATTCAAAGTACGAGTTTGAGTTTGACCAGTACCAACACCTGCTCCAGTAGCTGTGGGAATACTTCGGTCTGTCCAGGATCCAGGTATGAATACAGTGGCAGAGTGATGGATGAGTTTTTGACTAAAAAAAGCTTTATCTTCACTGCACCGTAAAATTGCAAATTTTCCTTTGCTCAATTCTCAGTTCCGTTCCGATCTATCCTCGTGTCAAACATACCTGTCGCTATTCCACTTTGCTCTCATCACCCAATTCGCGCCATTCACATCACTTGATATGTGTCATTTGCCATCACTGCCAAAAAGAACCAAAAGAAGAGTAGAATATGAACTCTTTGACTTGTGGCAACAGATCAAGGAAAAGCTAGGTCCCTTTGGGTGTGGCATTTAATATTTGCCCCAGGGACATCTGATGTAAAGCCTCCCAGAATCGCTGACTTACAGAGTCACAGGGAGGATGCTGCCCATCAGTGACAGATGGAGAAACAAATGGCTTGTGAGACTCCATAAACTGTGAAACATACAGTAAGGGAGAGGTTGCCATTACACTTACAGGAAGTTGGGCTCGGTCAGATTTGGGCCAAAGCAATTTGATGGTACCGCTGGAATTGTTTTATTAGCATCCAAGTCCAATAATCTCTACACCAGTTTCATAAATTGCAATTATACAATGACTTTGGAACTACGTGCAGACCCACTCCACCTCTTCATGTCAGCCAGAAGGATGGCTTTAACTACAGCTTGTTCTGCTTGATCTGGATCTCATTACTGCAGGAATCCTCAGCATGTGACTTTTAAAAGTCCTGGCTCCTGAAGGCTTCGTCTCACAGTGAGAGGGGACAGACTGGCATTCTTGCCTCTGGAATGACCGCTCTCCTCCAAATACACAAACACGCAGTGATTGCCACAACAACATAAATTCCTTGTTCTTTAAGGGTAATAATGTCCAGCTGCATAATAAAATCAACAGTGAAATGCATAAGCAGTGAAGAGATTCAACAAGACTTTAGAGACACACCCGAACTGCAACAGAAGCGAAGAGTTTTAAATAGTGGGTCAAATAAAGCTGGCATAAATACACTGAGTTTATGTTGAGACAAGAAGGAAAGAATAAAAGCCCTGAACTCCATCAATTTGTGCTCAAGCTATCATCTTCTTTCGGTATTAAAAGATGATATGGTGAGCTTAACCTATAGCCAAGTATTATTTTACTGACAACAAAACGCCCAATGGCAGCATTGCCGCTGGGTGAAACCCAATCTAAGACTTTATGGCATAATTATCACATACTCAGTGAGAAACACAAAAGCTTTTGTAAAGCTGTAGGACTCCTCTCTGTGCTAAAAGGTCAGAGCTGAGTAATTCAGAAAGAATATACTAGAGCTTAATGATAAATCCAAAGTCTAAACTGAGAACAATAACAATGAAAGAGAATTGAAAGTATTTATCATGTTGAATCTTTCTCTGAGGCCTTTCGAAGACTGCATGACATCATTTTGACTGCAGATTTTCCTTTCTAACACTCTTTTTATTCTTATTGTGTTTTCCTGCGTGTGACCCCTATCCTACAGCATGCTGCCTCTCCAAAAACAGCCACAAAAAGGAGCAATCAGGCTATTCACTCTTTTTTCACCCCCAAAACATCAAAGGAAAGAGAAGAGGAAAACATCTGGGAGCCAAAAGAGATCACACTGAAGACACAGAAAAAGCAGGAATGAGGCAGGCTGAGGGGGAGCCAAGAAGGAACGGATAGACAACTATTATTGATGGAGGAGACAAAAAGGGTGTGTATCTGCTTTCGATTAAGGTCCACTCAAACATGGCTCACCAGCTGCATATGCGGGCATTGTCATAATATTTTTGAGAAAACTAGGAGATAAATGAATCTGCAATGCAAGGACAAACGGTGAATACAAATTCCATTCAGAGCTGTCAGGACGAGTGGCAGCCCTGGTGTAATATGTGGACAGTTTTGCCACCCACCCAGCCTGCATGTAGCCACCCTGCTGTTTTTTCTCAAACCTACCACAGCTTGGGTTGGAGAGCCCTTAATTTTCTCACTCTTTAAAGGCCACACTGGGTCTTTTTGTTGCCCACAAGACGAGTGGCACGCCTGCCAGGATCTCATCAGTATGCTAAATGGGTTTTTATGTGCATCCAGGGTTTAGTTTTATGGAACTTAAAACCGCTTCATTTTAGCCTCTGGATGCAAGCTTCAAGTATATATCTGTTTAAAGAAGACTGCTTTCTACTAGTGATTATCACAACTGTTCCCCTTTCAATGGTTGTTTATGTTTTTTCAAGGCTATCTGCGGAGTAAGTTTGAGTCAAATCTCAATTATTCAGAGGGGAGGTTAAAATTACATTTTAAACTAAGTCTCAAGTTGTTTTGGCCAAGAGAGAGGAACAAATCCAAATTAATATCTAAATTCTAAGGAACTAAAGTCCAAGTCAAGGTATAATGTACTTGAAGGATAAGTCAAATGAACTCTAAGCCTTTTGAGGCTAAGTTCAAGTATAGTCTCATAACTTTGGGTGCAAGTTTGGGAAGCTCAAGTCTAGTCTCTAGCGTTCAAGGGGGAAATGTACATCCAAGTTGAGTCTCTGGTTTAAGTGTCTCTCTGATTTGGGTCTCAAGTCTTCAAGGTATAAATTTAAGTCATCTTAAATCTTTGTAGGCCATGTCAAAGTGAAGACCTAAATCTTTAATGGCTAGGTCTAAATTATGTCCCAAGTTAAAAATGTACAAAAACAAGTCAACATTCATGTTTTTAAGCAATAAATTAGAATTAAGTTCCTATTCTCTAATGAGAAATTTTAAGTTAGGTACACAGTAAAGTCTTTGGGGCACAACTCTGGGTCTTGACATCCCTGCCCCTTGGACCTGTAGTTCTTAAGTCCATAAAAGGTAAGTCCAAGGCAGGCATGTAACAAGTGCACAGTCTTTAAACAACAAATCTATGCCAAGTCTGTAATCTTGAAGAGAGGTCTCTATTTCTGAATGGGGCAAGACCAATTAAAGTGGATGGAAGGTAGTGCCCAAAACCCAAGATAACATATTATTATCCATTTAAAGAACATTAGCAAAAATGAGGAACACCAGTTAATGGAAAATGAATGAGATAAACAATATCTGCTTTTGTTAAATTTACAGTTCAGAAGTATCTTTGTAAGAATTCTAGCTTTACAGCAAAAACATACAATTGTTGGCTATAATCTTACTTATTCTGAAAATACCTAAAGTCATCTACTACATTTAATACACTCAATTTGAAAGCATTCATGATCTTGGCACTGATGACTGGCTTAATTATTCATTCCATTCACCTGTCTAACTCTGCCCGGTTTCGAATCACTGCTCATCTGACCCACCTGCTCCTGCCTCTATTTAAAGTGCTTGTATCCAGTTATAAATCCAGATTATTCTTGTTCTCTTGAGCCAGGGGTTAGAGGGTATTTAGCATACCTTATTGTTTCTGATTTACGGATCCTGACCTGTTCTGCCTCTCAACCACTGAGCCTGCTATTCCCGTCAGATCTCAGTAGTGAGAGGGTTTTCAGTGTATCTGAGTGTTTCTGATTACTTGATCCTGACCTGTTCTGCCTCTCAATAAGCTATGGTTACTCTGAGGGGACAGTCATTTAATCATTACATTATATTTTTGAGACTCGTTCCAATGGTCTTGTTTCTTGGTCAAGTTTCTAGTCTCTAGAGAGTAAGTTTAGATTTAGTCTGATACTTTCTTTTTGCTGGTTTGGTACAACTTTACCCAATGAATTATTTCATTATGTCTCACTGTATGGGAAGAGGTTATAAATAAAATTAAATAAAATTTATCGAAAACAAACATTGGCAGTTGACCAAATCAATTGGTAATTCCCCCCTACAAGCTATAGGAAGCAACTAGCAAAACAATAATATAAAGAAATCAAAAATAAAGTGAATTGAAAAATATATAAATTGGATATGCATCAGATTTAAACAGGTTATATAACCAAGGTTAAGAAAAAAAATGTGTTCTGTCTGATTGTTTCTAAACTTAAGGATTACCTGGTTTGGTTGGACACTTCTGGCACTTGTTCAGACCCCAGGAGGCACCCACACTTCCACAGCAGTCATCCTGTTTGGTTAGCCCTGGCAGAGGTTTGCCACACTGCAACAACACAAAGCAATGTTTAAATCTGTGAGGCAAGTTCTTAGGATTACAAGTTAGAGTTTGCATAGTTGTTTATCTTTAAAATGTTTTAACAATGGCAAGGCTGTATGCAAAGCTATTTTAGAATGCTTGAAGAAAACATTTCAACAAAGACAGAGTCCAGTTTTGCAAACCTAAATCTTCTATAAACATCTTTGCATGCCTCATTTGGGTCTTTTTCATGATGGTTTTTAGAATTTTAGCTGATACCTATGATCTAATACAGCAGATTCCCATTTGGAAATATGATTTCTCACTGGCAGAAAAAAGGGAAAAACTTTATCCTTATGCATATTTATGCTTCTTTTGTGCCCAGATTCTGCTTCTTTTTTTTAACACTGTGACCATGAGGTCACAATGTTAAAGATAGCATGCAAAAATAGCTGCAAATAGCATTAAAGTAATCAGATGCTCCACTAGCTCTAACATTATCCAACCTCATGAATAGACATCTCTTTTCCAACTGGGTATCAGTACATAGCGTTTGCAGTTTCTATACTTTATCTTGCTTTTACATTATAAAAATGTAATTTTAAAGGTTATTTTAAAGGAATATAGCTAATATGAATCAATCGCATTTGTCAAACTCTCTCAAAACTTAACATGTTGAAGACTGAGGGCACAATTACTAATTAGTGACACATCTTCGCTATGCTCCGCAGGAAAAAGGCTTACATGCCACCTTGTAAAATAAGTTAAAAAGTTAATATGCTTAATGAGTTATAGCAAAACCAAATAGTGGCTAATAATATAGTTATTATCTTTTGACATAGGAAAGCAAAGCAGTTAGGTACTATAGTTATTTATAGATAGACTGTCTGAGCTGGGCCTTAAGGGTTGTGTATTCAGATCACTGTACAATCTTTGAGGTTTTAATTTGAGCTTGTTTAATCCGCAAAATTTTATCATCACAGTGTTGACATATTTGGGTTGGCTACTGCAATTGAGTTTTCCTCATGTCAAAAACGGCACAGTTTGTTTAATGTTTAGGTTTCAGCCAGGCGTGTCAAAAGTACTCACATTCTTTACTTAAATAAAGCTCCTTTATTTAAATAAAAGATTAAAAACAACTACTCATTCTACTTTGAACTTAAGTACAAAAGTAAAATGACGTTTTTGCCTTGAGTGATACAAACTAACTTTCAAAATCTCTTCTATGCACAAAAAACAGCTTAATTTGACTGTTTTGGTCACTGTGTTGGTGAAGAAGAAATTAAATATCAGTCAGAATAATATAGATTTCATTAAACAGAAGTCCAGTATAAGCAGTTAAATCTTTTTCAGAGCTCTGGTATTCATAGCATTTAAGTTGCAAATAGCAGGGTTTAGCTTTGGCATCGGTTTAGTTCCACTTTAGGCAAAATTATTGTAATAATTTAGTAGAATTCAACCAATTTTGCAAAGAAAGTATTTGGTTTTAATGGTTTAACTTTAGTAGGGGTGACAGTGCATCCAAAATCCTGCATCCTTGAATGTAGCTGGTTGTAACCCCAGATCTAGCTCTCTCTATCTTTGTGTCTTTGGGCATGTTCGAATTGCATGCACTGCTGATGGTGGTCGGAGGGTGGCACCTGTGTATGGCAGCCTTCCTTCTTTCAGTGAGCCCCAGGGCAGCTATGGCTACAATGTAACTTCAATGTAACTACCAGGGTGTAAAAGTGTGTGTAAATATATGAATGACTGTAGTGAATGAATGTATTTTTTTGAAGTCCTCTGATTTGACAGTAAAGGCCAAACAGGACCTTTATTCAAGTTCTTCATATTTGTGAAACACATTTAGCAAATTCTACACAAATAAACTATTTGCAACCTAATTTAATTGCTTACTTTCTAACTTTTGTATTAGTCCGGATGATTAAAAGCAAATAATGATCTCTTTGGGTTTTGCTTCAAGTGAGCAAAACATTATCTTATTTAGATTAAAACACTCATCTACATGCTCTCCAGAAGCTTTCAAAACCTTTCCTTGGACAATGGCTGCCTTTACAGTAATTTTCTCCCTTGGCCTGTGCCCATAAGATCTAAATGATAAAAAAGAAAAAACAATCAGAATCAACTTTAATGACCAAGCTCAGGACCACACACAAGGAGCTTGACTTTGGCTTGCATAGCCCTCATTGCAATCAGCAGTTCAAATCACTGTCATGTCCTGAGTTCCTGTTGCAGACAGCAGATCTTAGAGAAGGCAGAAAAACTGTAAGGATAAACCACTTGTCCCCTTTGTACACTGTAGTATCAAAGTTTTAGAGTAATCCAAAATACCAAGTCATGAAAGTTTAAACATTGCATCTTCTCTCAGGTATGAAGAAATTTTTAATTTTACAAAGAGTTCCAGACTTGACATAGTGCTCAGTCAGCTGTTACCAAAACTATTTTTTCACTAGAAGGCTACCTTTCTTTCACTTAGAAGGAATTGTCCATTATATTAGGCTACGTCATTAAAGGTATGAATGAGGATTTTTCTCAGAAATTAGGTGTCCAGATTCATCTAAAATTACTGATGGCTGGCATTCTTGCACTTATGGACCCCTTGCTGTCATGGTCGTGGTTCTGTTGTACTTTACTTTGCTCCTTGTTTTCTAGTTTCATTGGTTTAATTCCTATTTTGTTGTAGTTTCTAGATTTATGTTAGTTCTCAGGTTTTTCTGTTGTTGTCCTCTGTTGCCCTCTTATGTGTTCCTTTCTCCTTGGCTCCCTCATTGTCTCCTCTCACACCTGCTCCTTATCCGCTCGTTAGCCCTGCCTTTGTCTCAGTCAGCTATTTATACTCTCCCTCTGCTGTCACTCCTTGTTGGTTCCTTGTCATTGCTGTCTTCCCATGCTGTTGTTTACCTCCCTTGTCTCTCCCTGGCTCCTCGTGTTTGGTTTCCCCAGTTTCTGTTTGATTTACATTATTAATTGGATTTTTGGATTCCTGCCTTTGTTTTCTGTTTTTTCATCATTAAAACTGCAAGAAATCTCCTCAGCCTCTCTGCCTCTGCATCAGGGTCCTCAAACATCAACCAAACCTTGAAACCCGCCCAAAATTTTTTTTATCCTTAAACTGTATAAAATGGACACTTGTTTGTCAATCAAACATTTTGCGTACGTACCCCCAGTTCGTTATTTACGTAGGCTCCAAGTGTAACTCATAGGCTGTTTGGCTAGTGGTGTGCCATTACGTCGAAGCACGAAAAAGTACTCCAATGCTTGTTTGCTGCTGCGGCTCTTTGAGGCCATTTGTTCACTGTTTTGTGTAAACTTGAGCATCAATGGCTGAAAACAATCCTGATAAACCTAACTGGAAAAGTTGAAAAGAAGAGGCGTTTCCAGCTCAGAGAACTTTTGCGAAGAAGAGGGCACTGATGCATGTGCACCACTCAAAAGTATACAGTGGTTGGACATGTCTTTTACCACAGAATCTTTTTTCCTACCCTCAAGCGTTACGAAACACAGAATTTATAAATTAAATTTTTATTCTCTGATTACAGAACCATATCATTACACCTGCAGGTGGCATGTCAGTATCCAGGCGGCACTGTTTTAATTTGATGTAAAAAAAAAAATGTAATCAATAAGCTCTATGTGAAACTAATCTAATATTGAAATAACATTCTGAAAGGTTCACGAGTATGTTTCCGTTTTAAACTTTGAACAGTTAGACATCCATTCAGTTCACTTCATAACATTGCGCCTTGGCTTTGTTGTTACACAAAATGTGGAATGTTTTGGTTTGGGTCTGTCTGAATTCTTCAAATTAGAGTTTGGCCATAAACTATTTTTATGTTTATATGTTTGTATGAGAGAGATGGAGAGTGCAATGAAGGGCGAGCAGACGGGATCTGGTGATGTACAGTACACGTCTGTGTGTATTAAAAGGACATTTAACAGAATGTTTTGTTACATTGGTTGATGGCAAACTCCAATTAAGCATTTACAACATATGTTTCTGTGACACAGCATTTAGAGCATTTGTGCTCTTGGCTTTTATTGGTCTTTTAATTCATTTAATCCTTTAACCCTTTAATCAATTTCATTGGTCAGTAGAACCTTGATACCCAAACTGCTAAAGATTCTTTCACTTTGTCTTTAATGCCATTTTTGTAAATTAGCGCTGTCTGCCAAGCGCTGAAAGTCGTAGCCTTATATGGAATCATCGGGGCAGTAGCCATGCAGATTTGCAATTCTAATGAACGTGCGCTCACTTATGCGCAGATGGAATGCATCAGGCTTGGGAGGATCATTTAGGCAACTATCTGAAGTTAAGAACATTATTTGAAACTGATGTGGAGCACGCGTAAGAGCCCACAGTAGGAAAAAAAAGTGAGAGAAAGGTATGACAACAATACGTAAATGTTGTTTCTTAATATCCACTGTTACTTATTACAATACCTGTCCATCCACTGTTTCCTGAAAGCATCTTCCAATGTTTCCATTTTGCAGGATAGGAGTCGTACTGTGACCGTTCGAGTGACCATTGCTGAGCGTTAGTCTGCCGTTCTGTTCCTTTGTGTGTTCATGTCCATTTCCAGGCTGGGAGCGCTGTTGGACAGAGTGAGCCCCCTCAGTGATAGCTGGTCTCTGTCCATGCTGGACTCGGGCTACTTGGTGAATGTGGACCTCAGCTTCTGGCGGATGCTGAATGTGGACGTTTACCAAGGATGGGTGGAGAGACACTTGGGACAGAGACATCCAGAGTTTACACAAAACAGCAGATGGTTTACATTTTGAAATATGCAATATTATGAGTCGAGTCATCAACATCTAAAGCATACAAATTGTATTTACATTCTCCAATTTTTAAGCTATCAGCTAACATCGACCACAAAGTTCTTCAACAAATACTTGCTTCATCTGCAAATTATAAGCTCAAGAGTAGACTGAGAACTCCTGTCAGTAAACTACTACACAACAAGGAGAATACAAGAAGTTTAGGATTTTCTGGTTTAAATCAAATCAGTTGAAATACCAAAAACAGATTTACTGTAGAAGATGTTGCAATGTCTAGAACGAGCCCTTTTGTCTTTCTGACAGAAGGGGAAGCATCTATCTTCAGGGTGTGCCAGGGTTTTTTCCCAGAATCCTGACCCACTCCCATAAATCATAATATTTTAGACAGTGAGCAACGTCCAAGTAAAAGATTCAGATTTTATCAAGAGTTTCTAACAAGGCTCTCTGCCTCTGGGTAAGAACACACACCCACACACTTATATGCAGTGACAAAACAACATGGATGTCTGGCTCTAATAATCTTAATCTGCTTTAAGATATCAACAATAATAACATTATTAAATGGGGGAAAAACTACTTAATCCAAAGGGGGAAGTAAAGTAGCAAATCTTTCATTTTCATATTTATAAAAGAACGTGCTGTCTCTCAGCTCTGATAACCGCTGCTGTTATGATAAAAGAAGCCTTATCCAAACTATGTGAGGACTTCCACTGAGTCATTCATTAGTTCATTCGCTTAAAATAGTCTGGCCTCAACATCTGTCCCACAGGAGCAGAGCTCTACCCGATGAAAACTGAAAATCAAAAGCAAGCCCTGTAAGACTTTAGAGGACAAGAATTTGTATCTAGAATAATGTTGATAGTAGTAGTGGGACTAATTTAATCCAATATCATACTGGACCCTGTAGTGGATACCATACAAATTCTTGAAACTTATGTTTGGCTGAAAGCAAATGAATTACAAGCCATGTTCCTGTGTGGCTGCTGGTCATATAACATGTTTGCAGTGACGTCACGGAAAATTTTTACTCTTTAGAGGATTCGACCTCTGATAGCGACTTGTTGGGTGTCCCTGAGGAAATGCATATTTATAATTCAGCAGTTACAGAGCAAGGTTGTTAGAGTTTGAGTTGCTAACAACATACTAATTGTGCGAAAATGATTAAAACCAAATTAGCAAAATACCTTCATAAAATGTTGTGACTTTGTTTTTATAAACTGGATAAATAGTTTAGTGTTGAGCTGTTGTGTTTCACTTTCTTAATCTCTTACTGCTGTTACTGTTAATTATGATTACCTTGAAAATGAATTCTCTATACTAAATAGAAAACTCTCAGTTCTCAGTGTCTGATGTTACAGTCAGTCCTCTTTACTGTGCTAAAAGTGGCATAAAATTCAATTTTATAAACCTTTAAATCATCAGTGGGTTTGCATTGGACATTTAATAACAAAGGAAGCACTGATTATTTACATGAGAGATATATACAAAAGGTGGTATATGACCAATTGTTTTACCATGTGAAACAGCAATAATATTATAAAACTTATCTTACTGCATATTTTCATTGAAAGAGTTACTTTGACTCAAAATAGTTCATTCCTTTTAAAGCATATGATTCAGCTCCGCTATCTCTCTCTAATTCCCATTAAATAATGTTAGTCTCTGTTTAAATACTGCATAATGCCCATGTGATATTGGATAAAGAATTTATAAAAACAGAGTTTACAATAAAGCTGCGGTACTTTAGAATATGAGCTTTTTTATGAAAATAGAGGTATTACTTGGGTCTTGCCTGGAAGACTTATTAGTGTGTTTTAACCCTAAAGAGGATACAAAAGAAGCAGCCTACCACAGCTAAGAGGTAAACCGCTATAGTCTTTAAAAGAGACATTCGATTGCCCATTAGTTTTTTTTTTATCATTTCAAAAATAATTTCCCCCTGTTGATGTTCCCATGTATTTACCTTGCTGATTGGATAATGGCAAAGTGTATGTGGAATGGGAAGGCGATTTCACTCCCTGGTGTCCCGTATGTTTGTGGATGTGAGGAGTGGGTCTGGGAGGTGGTGGTACCGACAGGTGACAAAACTTCCCTGTTGAGTTTGTTGGACACGAACACAGGTTCCTTCCAATGCATTTGCCTCCATTCATGCAGGGGATTTGACAGAAAACTGTGAAAAGAAGCAAAAAGTGAATGACAGGAAAAAAATAAAACTCCCATTTTTAATTGTCCATTGGTTGTCAAAAACAAGGAGCAGGTAACAAGGAACATAAGGGTCAGAGCTAATAGGAAGGGCCTAAGGCTTCCTGTTGGTAAGGTTTGTTTGCAAACAGTAGCCAGTGGTCCTGCTGTTCACCTCCAGGCAACTCATTCCAGGTGACATTTATAAAATGCCAGCTTTGTTCCTTATTGCCACACCGCTTGAATTGGTATTCCTAATAATAGCTGTTTACAGTTTGATTCATTGGTTGCATTTGGAGCAGCCAGATGCACTGCTTTATTAAACCTTTTAAAGGTCTTAACTTTTGGCTTAAGAGATGGGTGCCAGGTGAACCCCCTGAATTCCTGGATCTGCTCCCATCCACAGATTAGCTCTGACATGACCTCTTCTACCACAAAACATCAAAGAAGTTGAAAGTAAAAAAATATATATATTCCCTGCAATGTGAACCAATATTTTTCTGGGACATCAATACATCTAAGAAGGAAATTTTTTAGCAGTCTGCAATAAAACAGTCACACATATGATTGTTTATTTAAAGGATAACAGATATCCCAAATATCAACTTATTAGATGATGAAAGGGCCTCATTGCTGCAGCATCATGCTGTGAGCTGCATCCTCTCTGTCTCTTCGAGGCAGACAGTCCGACACTAACAAGGTGCAAAACAGGAATTATAGAAAGTCTGCATAGTCTCGATGGCATGTTGAGAAATGAGCTCCATGTAAACAACATCAAAAGCAGGAACACTGCAGGAGTACGCAAGAGAGGAGAATGGAAAATAAAGATCCAGGAAACGACGATTATAAGAGATTAGTAAGAAATATTTTAATAGAAAACAGTGGAATTGGTAGAGAAAGAAACATACCAATAGGAAACACAGGACTCAGCCAAAGAAAATCAGCAGGTCAGACACACAGGAAGGCCTCCTGCAATTCCACATGCCAGCTAAATTATCAGCTAAAGGGGGCTATTAAAACTCAATGTGTCCATGCTGCTCTGTCAGACCAGTTCCAGCCTGGCATGAATTATTCTTAGACCAACATAGTTCTGATGACTCTGTCTGACCATTTAGCAGCCTGTAAAGAAATACACTTTTCACTTCATAAACAGACTGCAGTATATTTTAAAGGAACAGGGTGTGAATCCAGAGAGGCTGTTCTAATTATTCATTCAGGGTTTATTGCACCATGCAGGAAACATAACAACAGCATGAGATAGCTGTTTGGTGTCTACTCAACATTCCTGGATATCCACACACACCCAGGGCACTACAGAATTCCAGCTTATGTTCTATTAACACATGCTTTTATGTAATCACTCAAGATTTCTGGAGAATAGACAGAGGCATGAAGAAGCATACTGCACTGGGAGGCGGATGAAGTGCAGGGAATGTAATCTTTTTGGGAGGCTTCTGTCAAGAAGTGTTTGGAATATCAACCACTTGTTCTATAATCCATTTAATAGGGATCTAAATCTATAGCAACAGCCTGTTTATAACTAATAAGCCAGCTGGATTTGCAGTTAAGATCATAAAGTAAAAGCATGGTTTAAAGGTATATGTGACATTTTTTTTCATTCATGTGCCAGTAGCTCACTCCTTTTGTATACAAAGTTTTTTACAAGTTTGCCTCATCCTGCTGGTGTATCATTTTGTTATTTTTGTGTTTTACGCTTAGTTTGTGCTCAGTTTGTTAGTAAATAAAGCCCTTCCTGTATATTTACAATAACAACAGAAGTATGACACGGCACATTAATCGCAGGGGTTAAACAAGGTCTGGGCTAAGCCTGGCTGCACCTCCAGGGTGAGTTTTAAAAATAATTAAGAAAATTGGAAGATACAATGTGACAAAAAAGCTCAAAATAAAAAAAAAGAGGCTTGACAGAGGAATCTGACTTAAATAGCAATTTGAATACAGTTTCAACATTTTTGTCAAATAAAGCAGAAGATGCAGAACCATTTAGATTGTACTGCTGATGAATGCATTAATAAATATCCTGATTACTACTGATATTATTGATAGCAATGCCACTCTTAGTCTCTACAGTCAAAGTATGATATGATAGACTGACTGAAATAAAAAGAGTGGGGGGCTGCTTTCTGTCATAGCTTCTAAAATCCAGAGGACCACTCAAGATCAGATTGAATGCAGGGCTCAAAAACAATGCACTTACCGGGAAATAACATTTGAATGCATTTAATTTGCTTTAATTCCAACAAAAAGGCTTTAGCCTATGACTTGGTCATTTATTTTATTTAAATATTTATAACCTGTTTGCATTTTGTTGGACAAGGAATCTTCTTTGTCCTTGAAGTCCTGATAAGATTCTCTGGGCAGCATTCACTAGAACTTAAAGTTGCTATTGCTTTACTATAAAGTAGGAGTTACTGCATAGACCTCAGGTGGAAGAGTGTTCACAGGAAAACCCTTTGTTGTGTACTCCACAAATGTATTTTTCTGGAAGAGTGGCATTCAAGAAAACATCTATTGTTTAAAGAAAACCCAAAGGAAGTCCCCACAACCTATTTAGGGGACACAGTAAACAAGAGAGAAAAAAGGTCCTCTTGTCAGAAACAAAAACTTCACCGAAACACAATATCTGATGGAAGAATTCATAGTTCCCCTTGACCACAGCATTCCTACCACAGAAAATGAGGGTGGCATATAGTGGAAAAGTTTTCCTTAGCAGGCTGAAATAAACTGGTCGATGCAGAGAATAAGCTGGATGAACCTAAATATCTGGCAGCCATGGAAGAAAACATATTGGAGGCTACAGAATGCTTGAGAATGGGCTGGCAGTTTTAGCTTTAAGGAAGACAATCAAACATGAGGCCAAAAGTATAAAGGAATGAGTGAGATGAATGGGCATTCATCTATCAGAATGGCCCACTCAAAGTACAAACCTAGAAATGTTTTCAATTTAATATGACTGACATCAATTTTGCAAGAAAAAACAACTAAATGTATCTCTTTACTATAGATGTGCAAAAAAAAAAAAGTTTCACAATAACTTACAGCAATGAGATGGTCAATAAGACAAAATACCACAAATACAAAAATATATTAGTCAAAAATTTGTAAAAATGTAAAACTGGTTGACACCCCTGGTAACTCCTTTCATCTACCTACCTATCCAACAATTCAAAAACAACAAAGCTTCTGAAGTCTGCATAGATAGTCTTACTATTCCCTGCAGCAAGAATAGGGTACCTACTAATCACATGTCTAAGTCAACATCCTACTGAGTCCATCTTTTTATAAACAAAAGAAAACCTGCTATGGATGCAACTTACATATAGTTTTTATGAACTGACCCCTAAATTTCCCCCTGTGCAACTTAATATACAGTATGGGAGATATAACAAAACAAAAACAACATGTCACTGGAGGTATATGAAGGATGTAGATGTTTGCATGTGTGGCAAACACACCTAACTTTTCTCTCCCTATAACATATTCTTAACTAGATCCTTAAACCTGATGTGAAAAACCAGTTGTGTGACACTCTTACCCTTGCACTGACCACCCTCTCCCTTCCCATGGATACCGTTCTGTGTGAATTTGAAGCAAAGCCTTCTGGATAAATGGCAGGTTTAATGTAATCCCCATAAAAATCCTGTTCATGCTGCTACTCTTTCTCTCCTTCTGCCTCTCCGTCAATTCTTTTATTCATTTTTGCTCTCCCAGAGAGCACATTAAATGGTTAACAGCGGGACCAACCACAAGGTGCAAACCACAAAGAGATGGGGCTAAGTGCCGGGAGCGTGGGACCACCAGCTCCACGTGTGTGTCTATGACAAGAGATTAGCCCAGTTTTACACGGCTTTCCTACTCTTTAACACAGGCATTATCAGTTGCTGTTTTATTTCTCAGTTTTAATATAGAGCTCAGGATTAATCTACACCACTCTGGTTGCTCACTGAGCTTAGTGTGCAGAAAAGACAGCATGCTACTGGGAATCCATTTTGTCCAGCACACCTCATAAAAGAAGAATGAGATAATAGAATCGAGACACACAAAAAGTGTGTGTGAATTAGAAAGTAAACAGTGGAAAGAAGGCAGAAAGAGTAAGAAAAAAAAAAATAAAATGAACAAGAAGAAAAGCAGGATTTGAGGGCCGGGAGTCAACACTCACAGAGTCTGTAGCCTTGGTTCTTTGGCTGCTGCTGCTGTGGCGTGTTCTCGCTGTATACAGTGGTGACATCTCCCCTCTGACAGCTGTTATAGCACCGTCCGCCGCTGCACACTCTCCGGCAAACCATAGGTGTGAAGACAATCTTAATACGATCCAAGTTGGAAGTGAGATTCGCCCCTGGAAAACACAAGCACATCTGCTTCAGAAGAAGCAGAAGAAATGGGCTGTAGAAGAGCTGCATCTTTCCTCCAGCTCAGCCTCTCAGTGACACACTCCTCATCTGGATCAACAGGAGGTTTATAAGTACGCAAGGGTGTGTGCTGACGGTCAGCCCGTGGCATGTTGCAGCCGGATGAGCGATGTGCCACAGGCCAGGGAAAGGGGCTGGAGAAGAGAACTGTTAGGTGTTGGGCCGTGCTCCAAGTGCTTTATCTCTTGCAGAAGGTGTTTTGGATGTGTGTATGTGAGGGAGACAAAGAGAGAGTAAGTGCATGTGAACATAGTGTAATGGTGGGAATGCATTCAACAGCCGCTGCCCTGGCACACAGCAAGAAAAAGAACAGAAGCCAGAACTTCACACAGCTGTTTCCATGGGATACAACATTTGAGAGTAAAATGTAGAAATTATTAAGGTCAAAGTGTTTCAGCTGCAAGAAGAGGCACCAGAGGTCAGCGCACATCATTATGGAGAAGTTAGTTTAATGACCCACAATGAATACAACAATGATATAAAACATCTGCCTGAGTGCTGCTGACCACAGAGGCTAATGTGGTTATGTCCCAGTTTAACAGGGTGTGTTTGTATTATAGAAATCATCTGGAGACCAGCATCTGTTGATCTTTAGCTTGATGTGCTGTAGCCTGTTGGAAACTTTAGAAATCCTGTTCTATTTCCAGTCTGTAAACATAACAAGAGCTACCAGGTTGACTCTCCGTTGCAGACCCTGTCACAGTGTTGAAGACTCAAAACTACTTTAGGATTTAGTTGGCTATTTAAGATGAAACCAGGAGAAGCACAGGAAAGTTAGAAGCTATTCCTAAGTAAACAGAATTTTCTATGATACCTTAAAACATCAGGCTGCAAGAGAGAGGAGGATTTTCAATAGATAACAGGAAGGCTGAACATACTAAAGCAAAAATGCTATAATTCATCCATTTGAGTTTATTTTTAGTAATACTAGTAGTACCAATCATGCTAATAAAAACAAAAAGTGCAGTAATTGTTTTTCAATGTCCACTCTGTAATCTGATTTTTATTATAAACACTGACCCTGTATTTCAACGTCTCAGAAAATAATCGATAACCCATTACAGTAAGAAATACTTCAATCAAATATCGTATATGTTACACTGAAACTTCACAACCTCACCATTAACTAATGAAATTTGTGGAATAACCATTAAGTCAGTCGAAAAAACTGTGATGTGTACATCTCTAATTTGATTTCATTTGAAACTGTGGCAAAATAGGCAGAATTTGTTGTGAAATGTGTGCTTTCTTCTACTTACCAGTTGGATGTAAGACATTGTTGAACTGTCCCTGCATATGGCCGTCGCTGGAAGGTCTCTGAGCATTGAGGGACGGTGTATTGCTTTGTCCGTTTCTGTGGGGATACCTGTGTCTGTTCTCACTACCATGGCTGTTAGCAAAGCCGTTGCCGCTGGGCAGGGCATTGGAGGTTATGGGCTCAGAGGATGAGGGATAACGCTTGACAGTACGGGAGGTCCCAGTTTGCTGATGAGAGGAGTATGTGGACCCTCTTCTTGCTTGAGTCCTATAGAAAATATCATCACAGCAGAAAAAAATGATAAATTTCCAACATTTAAACTAAGTAACAGAATGGACACATCCATTCAAAAAACACTGCATGTGCATCACTGTGAAATTAAATTAAGTGAGATGCAATACAGTCCTAGTTTGTCTGATTTTATAGATGAGATAAAACAGTTTTTAAGCTCTTTTAGCTCAAAGGACTTAATCTTCTATCTGCCGCATATAGCCCCAGTAATCACGGAGACTGTACGAGACAGCAACAGCACTATAAGAGACAAGACTATTCTTTGCATTAGGCAGCAGAAAGGGGAAATAATTAATACACCCCCTTTATCAATCTATGTATTTGTGTGTTGTTGTTTTTTTCATTACCCATGAACAGCTGTGGCCAGGACAAATGGAATGTCCTGAAACTTTAATAGGAACGGAACAACAAGACCATGGCGGAAAGGGGCATGTTGTATCCTAGTGAGCACTCGATTTCAGGTCAGTTTCACAACTTTGAAGCTGAGTTCATGTGACCTAAAAGAAGGAGGCATACAGGCCTACCTGAACTTTGGGAGTAATTGTGGTATGCTGGGATCCACCCACACCAAAACATCTGGATCACAGTGATCTGCACTGACAGACAGAGCCAGACAAAGACAAACCCTGCCGGACAGATCAGAGGAGCCAATCCACAAAACACACCTGCGTTCCAACAAGGTACTTAAGGTTATAATCAAAGCCCAGATGAGGAATATAAGCCATTCATGACATGTTTGCATGTGATTTGTGAGGAACAAATCACATATTTACACACTGAATACACTCTGTTGAGCTACAGACATAGAGAAATAACCTGGCAATAAGAAGATTGGACAGAAATATCCACATGCCCACACACTTGCAAAATGAAAGCAGACACACACACACACACACCCTGTCCCAGCTGTACACAAGCCTCTGCAAGTCTCTTTTTTTACAGAGCACATTCCTGCTGTTAATTTGGACAGGACAATAAATGAAAAGGGGGAAAAAGGAGGCAAAGTTATGACAATGGTCTATCATTTCATCGTTTCAATAGACTCCAAACAGCACATGCAGCTGGCAGCTGCTCACCCAGATGCAAAATCTAAAGGGTGGGTCCTTGGCATTTGAAATGACACAGGGAAAAATGAGGTTCCGATGTTATATTGGTAAAAGGGTGGTCAGGTACCAAACCCAGTTACAGTTTCCAATCCAAGTTATGGTTGGCTCAGTTCCATTGCTAATGCTAAAACCTGGCCTGCAAGCATCCTGCTTTGCTTCCTGGGCTTAGCCAGATGTTGCTCCTTCCGACACATTCAGATGGCAAAATCACTTCCTCACAGTATGAGCTCATCATCATCCTCCCTGCTTTTTAATCAAAGGGAAAGCGGGGATGGGGGTGGTGATGTTGACCACATCCAGTTTCATCATTAGGAACTTCAAGCCCCTAATAAAGTTCTAGGTGAATGACATTTTCAAGTTCTCCCTGAAATTACAGTGACCATGGTAGGATATATGTGGTATGCTGTGGTATCCCTAGAGTTTTAAATAAACCAGAAATTGTGCAGCAAAGAAAGGTGTTATGGGTGAAAAGAATAACGTGTTTGGTTGTGTTAAACATTTTTAGTGCTCATACTGTAGATCATATTTTAGAGCCCAATGAACATATTCTTTTCACTGTTTTTAAATCACTAATATCCGTTTTTGGTAACAATTAAACCTTTTTTTTTTCTATCCTCTATCCTGTAAATAGGATTACTATAATAAATAAACTACATTAAATCTGGACTGGTTTTGTCTGGCAGTAAGCACATTGGACATAAATATCCACATGCCCACACACTTGCAAAACGAAAACAGACACAAACCCCCCCAGTCCCAGCTGTACACAAGCCTCTGGCCATTGGCCATTTTATTTTAAAAGTTATTTTTTTAACACATAAATATGCCAAATACATGTGTTTCAACTTACTGGCTACAGATAAAATATGCACTTTAAGTAAAAAAGTTATTCTACAAAAAAATAGTAGGCGAGTACCATGGAGTAAAACGGTTGGAGGTGACCAATTTATTCTCGCTCACCTTCACAGCTCTCTGCTGGACACACATCTTACACCAGGATTATAAAAAAAAAAAGTGCATTTTGAATTTAATGAAAAAAATCAGTAGCTGTTAGATGAGGTACAATATGTTCCAGCAACAGTAAAAGCAGAGCAAAAAAAGCACAAGCAGGAAGTCAACAGGCAGACCATAAAGGTAACCACAGCTGTAATGTGTTAGTTATTTTAAGAAGAAAATGCTTTATTTCACATTGTTTACTACTTTTATGTGCACTCTGTCAGTACCAAACGTTTGCTGTTGATGTCTGCAGATTACTTTAAATCAACTATGGCTCAATCCAAATGATTCCTCCACATGTTTACATAATTAGCTTGAGCTGTAACATTTTTTCAGAGTATGTGACCAAAAGCAGGAGACATCTTTACTGTGGCTGCAGTTAGATTGTATATCAACATTTTAACTTCAGAACCACAACTTGAGTCACATTAGCTTGAAGTAACTGCCGTGACAGATGTTACACTCAGATCTACGGTTTGAGGGCCACATTACCATAAACAATGAGTAAATCAAGAGGTGATAATGTGAAGAGAAATGTGAGATAGTTAATGTGACATTCATATCCAAATGCCTCTCAAAATAAATAAATAAAACAAAGAGGGAAGAGTCTGCATTTCTGAATTCTTACATAAGGTCTTGCCTAGTGAATTTTCCAAACTGATGCTCTAATATAGGATTCTTCCTTTCTTTTACACGTTGGGGGGAAAAAACCATTTAAGTCTTAACTTTGAAAACTAAAGAAAAAATTAATGAGATCTCTATTCTTTCTTTGTTGTGGGAAGATATGGTGATAATTCCAGTTGTCTGAGTTTGATATATTAAAGCAAATATCGTCACTCCTCCTCAACTTTTATCCGCTTTGCAATTTCTTTTTGTCTTTGAAAATTTTAGACATATTTATTGTGAATTAAATGAATTAAACTTTTCAGTGCTATAATCCTGAACAGAAACTAAAAGGAACACTTGTAAAGATGATCACATATACCATATCGGATGGTTGTTGCAGTTCTCTATATACTGAATTTATTAGCTCTGTGATCATGTTTATTATAGGTTTTATAACAAGGGTGGAAGATGTGAGAACATCTCTAATGAGATCAACCACAAAAACAAGCCCTTCAGTATGATCTAATCTGTAGCAATTTGCTGTTTTCTCTTTCGCTCAGGAATTTTGAAAGCCTTATAAAAGTCCTACTAGTCACTCCAACAAGCTTTTTTGCATGGAATGACTTTGAGTTGAATTCTTATTGTACTAGTTTTATCTGCACAAGAATTTATACAGCACTTTGGAGAGAAGTGGTTTACTTATAAACTGAACACTGAAGCAAGTTGTTCTTTATAAAAATGTCTTTAACATAGACCATGTTCTTCAGAAATATATCTGGGAATTAGGCTAGATTGTAGTTTGGTATACAGAATCAAAATAGTGTATTAGGAAAAAAGCTATTTTTTCGACAGGAGGCTGCGGTCCACCAGGACCAAAACCACAAGAACAGTTTCTTCCCATTGGCTACCAGCCTTATCAACAACAACCCAGAGACCCCCGTAACACCGACACTGCCTCTCTCCCTCCCCCATTCAGGACATAGAAGCTACACCAACGTAGAATCTCCTGCGTAAGATTACACAAAGCCTAATGTGTATATAGTACATTTCATATAGTACATTGAATGTTTTATATTGCATATAACTATAGATCCTGTATTCTGTATATATATCTAATTACAAGTCAAATTCCTTGTAAGCGCAAACTTACTTGGCAATAAACTCTGATTCAGAAAAATGACTCTAACTTCCTCCCAATATATGTATCTACATAAACCTTAGGTTGTTGTCTTTGCTTTTGTTTGGAACTGAATACAGAAAATGTATAGAAAACCTTGAAATACATTCGTCTTTTATTGCATTAGCTAGAAAAAAAATTGAAATTAATCCAACTTTTGATATATATACTATCCAACTGAATTAAAAAGGATTGTTGATATTGTTTATAACAAAATCCTCTATGGTGAAGTAAGTTGCACCACTGATTTCTATGAATGTAAATCTAAACCTTATTCAATTCATAAGTACTTTTAAAGGGGTTCCTTCAACTAGATGTTGTAGATTTTATTAGCTCTATATAGCTAGGATCTTTCATAGCAGTCTGTCATACAGCAGTTCTAGAGAAGACTCTCACTGAAGACACCCTGATCTTATCCAACAGTCTGATAACAGAGGATTCTCAGAGTTGTCCATTATTTTCTTTATCATATTAAAATGTGTTCTTTGTACATTCATCTCGAAAAGTTCTAGGGATCTTTCTAAAACAAGATCTTTTTTTTCAGCTGGTTGAACTTCTTTTAGTTATTTGCTCTGATGTTATCTTTTGTTGGGGTAACAGCGTCAGCGTAAATTATTTGACGAAGACTTAGGCAGTGTCTTGCTGCAAACTCTAAAGGACCTAAGCAATTTAATGTAAACTTGTGTAAACAGGTGTTTCAATAGTTATGCATGACTTAATATTTCACAGATAAACAAAAAGATGGGACATTTTTATATTAAATTCACAATATAGAAAAAAAGAGAAATTGTGATTCTAATTAAAGATTTTTTTTAAATAAAGCTTACTTTTATAGAATTGCACCAAAGAGTGGCATCTTGAGGTCAACAAGTCTCCTTAATGACTAACATATGCTCTCTACATCCTAAATGATTGCTTGGGAGGCATTCCAGAGCAAAAGCTTGTTCAATCCTACTGTTAAAAGTTTATTTGAGGAGCTGGCCCAACAGCAGTGAGGCTTTTTAATGACATCTGATTGTTGTGGTAATATCTGAGTAACACAGATTTCACAAAAAACAATAGAGATGGGTCTGATATAAAACAAATGAAAT